TTCCTTCTGAGTGATTCACAGCCTCTGAAACCTGCTGGAGTGTCAGCTATGAGTCACTTCCAAGTTAATGGCAATGAGTTGAATTCTCCTTCTGGAATTCTAGCTTTGTTGTGAGGAATTCAGTAGCCAGGGTGCCTGAGCCAACTTGAGAAGGACCTGGATCAATTGAGGGCTGCTTGGGGCCTCTGGTGAGCCCTAGTCAGGCAGTGCCAGGCCCTGAAGCTTACAAGGCTGGGCAGAGGGAACACAGCACTCAGGTGACTCCTCTACGGTCTCCCAGAGGCTGAGATTGGCCCCTCAAATGTGTGCTGGGTGATAAGGGTGCTGGGGAGGAAGGAAGGGTTGGTTCAGTGTGGAATGGTGACAGGTCTGGCAGCGTGGCCTCTGTGACTGTGAGCCCTGCTATGGACTGTGGTCCCTCTGAGAGCCTTCCTGGGTCTGCCCCTGTAATACAGCCAGCTCTACACAGTGATGTGAACTTCAGTTCTTCCCAACGCCAATAGCAAGAGGTCAGTCTGGAGTGAGGACTTGGAGGCAGTTCTTTTCTTAGACCTCTTTGTCTCCCTCAGCCAGGAGTTTTGCAAACTCTTTCTGCACGAAGAGTTACTGTGAAAGCACCTAGAATGACTGTGGAATACAATAGCTTCAGTTGTAAGAGTTGAATGGGCACGGTGGTTCCCATATGTGGGGAGACAAGTACCATTTGAGGAAAGATGCCCATCTACAAGTAGAGGAATGTGACAGCTTGCCAGCACACATCAGAAATTAGGAGACAGGTCCCAAAGAAAGGGCCACCCCAGCCAAGCTCTTGATCTGGACTTTGAGCTTCCAGAGCTTAGAAGTTACATCCATGTTTTTGAAAGCCACCTACTTAATAGTATTTTTGCTACAGCATAATGAGGTAATAAGACAGTCTCATTGGCAAAGAAATGTACTAAGTTCAGTGACATCTTTATGGCTTTGGGTCTTCTAAAGCTGGAATTCACAAGAAGCAAGTAGCTGACCAACTCCATGTAATAACCTGGCCTGAAGGAGGTGGGTTGTGGACACTACTGTTGGTGGCAAGATTCCCAGAGTTTTAAGATCACGACCAGTGACCTTGGCCAGTTAACTGTAACCAGGTGCCTGCAAGTGTGTGAGCCACAGCATCAGTGCCTGTTTGCACAGCTGAAAACAGTCCCTTTGTGGGCAGGAACCTCCACCACATTCCACTTAACATTCTGGCATACTTTGTCTTTCATTAGAGGAAAAACTGATTCCTCTTCATCAAAAGAAGCATGTGATTAATGGAAAACTCAAAGTGCCTGTGGTTCTTTGATAATTGCTTTTTAAGAAACATCATTAGAGTGCCTTTAGAACATAGTAAAATTCAGGTAGGTTGCATTTGATTGTTCCGAAAGCATTTCTAAATCTTAAATCAAGGCAGAAAAGTCTGTAAGTGATTACACCTGTGTCAAGACTTCATCTTGCTGGGTTTTTCCATTGCCCAGCAGGAATGTTAACACACCCAATAACTGCTGGAGTGCTCTGAATTTTCTACCTGGTGTGATAAAGCAAGATATCCTTTAGGGTGCCTCAGAAAAGCCCAAAGGGTAGAGTCAGGAAGTAGTTTCACTTACTCAGCTTCCACAGATCCATGTCTGGGAGGCAAAACCGTTTCTCGTGCAGTGAAGTTTATGGTGTAGGGGAATAGAGTTAGCCAGAACTTCTCAACGAATAATTTGAGGTCTGGTTAAAATGTAGTTGTTGCTTCTGTATGTCTGGGTAGGCACTGAGAATCTGTGTTTTAGCAATCACCAGTGATGGTGTTTGCTACCCATCATGGACCATAGTTCATGTAGTGATGAGTTTGAGGGCTGCTTAGACCACTTGGAAAGGGAAGAGTGATGCTTACAGAAGAATAGCAGTAACAGTTTCTTCATTTTCCTATTGAGGGTCATCTGTGTACCTGTCCCAGATGCTCATTTGCTGCACCGGGAGGCTGAGAAGTCTGGTGGCCCCATCATTCACTCATCAAGGATGGTTGCACTTTGGCAACAACCTGGTTTGGGCAGTTTCCTCGTGACTCTTCCCATAGTATTTTGTATGTGTAGCCTGGTATGTGCAGATAGATGGCCCAGAGGTGCTATGGTAGAAGAATCAGAGTTTCAGGTAGTATCATACTTAATGTATTGTTCTTTAAAGAAAGAAATTGTGAAGAGAACAGCCATGAGCAACAGTCAGTTGCCAACAGACCTGTGGACATGGAACCCGTCTGCCATTTTCTCCAATCTAAAAAACTCAGACTCATTGCTGTCAAGTTTGAACGGACCCATAGCTGACCCTTCAGTAGGTTTTCAGAGGCTATGAATTACATGGGAAGAAATTTCCCATCTTTCTCCTGCAGAGGAGCTAGTGGATTTGAACTGCCTACCTTTGGGTTGGCAGTGCACTTCCTTGCCCACTAGGCCTTCAGAGTGAAATGGTCAAGCAAGTTGGTTTTCCATTCAATGATTCGTGTATGTTTTGTTTTGTGAAATTCATTTTAATACCCATGTTGTAATTGCACTGTTTTCTCTCTGACTTTGTTTAATTACCTAGCTGCCCAGGTGCTAAATTTTCTTCTGATACTCATCGTTGCCAGGTTTCTAGAACATGGAACTCAACCTGTCTTTCTTTCAGAACAGAAATGCTAGATCTGGGGAAACCCAGAGGCTTTGTTTGGAAGTCGTTTTCTAAGTGAGGCTGGTCTGTGGCATCATCACACAAGCAGCATCCCAGTACTTGGCTAGGACAAAGTATTTAATCCTGCTTTTGTAATTAAATAGCAGGATGATTTTTATAAACTATTGACAGCAGGGCTGGGTTCTGCTTGTTTGCCTATAGTTCTGAGGACTGTCTGTTCATGGTAGAGCAGGAAGAGGAATTTTTATTGTTGTGAATATAGATACATAAATAATTTTCCCCCTGAAAATGTGTTGGTTTAGATTGGTTTAGGTATTAGCTGGCAGAGTGCCCTATCTTTGTTCGAACTGACTGTCCTTGACGCCAAGTCATAACTTGTTCTCCACTGTAATCTACTCTCTCTTTGATTGTCCTCTGACCTCTGATCTCTGCTCTGCCCTCCAGGTGGCTACAGATGGTCTGTAGTGCTTGGTACCAAAGCCCACCATCATCAAGGGCTCCGTGCAGTAGTGAGGAAAGTACTCACTGAGAACTTTTTTTATTTTTGTTTTAATTCTTTCACTTATACTTAAATACCAAAAAGAACAAGCAAGAGACCTTTGGGGAATATTTCATACTGTATTTGGAAGGGTGGAGGGGCAGTGTAAGAAAAGAAGACTGTGGGCAAGATGGATTGACTCAGTGACTCAAGTAATGGAGGTAGGCGTGTCAGAAACGATGAAGTTGGCTCAAGATAGAACAGGATTCAGGGCTGTGGTATATAGGGTTACTATGAGTCGCAAGTGACTCAATGATACATAACAACATCATTATAGAGGAAGAATATAGCAAGCAAAAAAAGGCTTGTGAAACTAGCTGCCTTTTCTAGTATTTTTTTATTACATTGTTCCATGTAATAGAGCTACATCGAGAGAATGAATTCTCAAACAGCAGGGAGAGTTTCTCTTTCCACCCAGTAACCAGTTACAGAAGGCAAACACTGGCTTGGTTTTGGAGCTACAGGATGAATCAGACATGGCCCAGCCTGGAAGAGCTGGGTAAAGGGGCCATCGAAAGGGATACACAGCTCACCCATAACACTGTGGGTCATGGAATGCCACCTTGGGGAAGAGCTTCCAATCAGACCGCGACTCTGTGTAAGAAGAAAGCCAAGCTGTGGCTTGATTCTTTCTTGGCCTTAGAGTGTGAGTAGGTACTGGTAACTCAGAATCCTCATGAATCTTCGGGGTGGGAAGTGCAGGTGGATGGCAAGTACTAAACGACCTTCCTACCATCTTGTCCTGGAGTTGCGGGGGGATCTTGTGGTGCAGAACTATAAGGATAAGGGTACAGCTTACCAGCAAAAAGAGGGAGCACAGAATAGCAACAGTCCAGGCTTCACTAGGATAACATTGTCCAGAGAAGGGAGCAGCTCCGGACCAGTTCTGGATACGCATGAACAATGATATTGGGAGTGCTGGGTGGTACAGGGTTCCATCCCAGCAGTTCAACATTTCTAGGCTTCTAAGCTGAACATAGTCTTCAATATGGACTACAAGAAATAAAAAGATGTGTTGCCTTTGGGGAAATGAGCTGTCAAGGACCTCTCCAAAGTGCTGAGAAGCTGTTATTGTCAGTTTAGATACTAAGGTGTGCCTGATTCAAGCCAGAGTCTTTCTCATTTACTTCCTGGGTATCTGAAAGTTGGACAGTGAATAAAGATGACAGGAGAAGAAACAATGCCTTTGAGCTGTGGTGTTGAAAAGAGTATTGGATATCTCAGGGACTGCCAAAAGAACAAGTAAGTATGTCTCAGAGAAAGTGCAACCAAGCTGCTCCTTAGAGGCAAGGATGGTGAAACTTTCACATAATTTGAGTCGTCGTCAGGAGGGTCCAGCTCTTGGAAAAAGACATCATGTTTGGAAAGGTGAAGGATCAGTGGAAGAAGACCCTCAACAAGATGGATTGATATAGTGACTGTGGCAATGGGATCAAGTATATCAGGGATGGTGAGAATGATAGAGGATAGGACAGGATTCAGAGCCATTCATAGGATGGCTGTGAGTCCTGGTCAACCTTCAGCACCTAAAAACAACAAGGTGAGGAGCTCGGAGACGTAACCTTCACCTGCCACCTACTGCTCTGTGGCCTAAAGAGCTAAATGGCTTCCTTCCCTTGTAGGTGGGCCTCTGTACCCCACCTGTAAAAGCAAGGATCTCCACCCTGACATACCCATAGGGCTCTTGGTGGCCTGCAAGGGGAGAAGATGCCACAGTGCTTGCTGACTAAGGTGTCCTGTGACATCCTCAGCCCAAGGGCTCGGCACTCATGTCTCTCTTGCTCCTTTTATGTTGTAGGAATAGAACTGTGCCCCCCTGAAAAGCGGTTCATGATCACCATGGTGGCGAGCTTCGTGGCCATGGCTGGGCAGTTCCTCATGCCAGGACTGGCTGCCCTGTGCCGGGACTGGCAGGTGCTGCAGGCCCTCATCATCTGTCCCTTCCTGCTCATGCTGCTCTACTGGTCGTAAGTACCCCAGCCTGGGTGGGTGCGAGCCCCCTAGGAGATAAGTCCACCAACCCAGACCCCCCCCACTTGTGTCCCATAGACTTGCGGGCATGTGTGTGTGCATGTGTGTGTGTGCTGGGGGCGGGGGTGGGGGGACGTGGTGTTTTCCCTCTCTTTTTAAAGCATTGATTGTAATTTTTTTTAACTTGATCTTGGAAAATGTTCCGACATACACAAAAGTCAACAGAATAGTGGGGTGAGCCCCACATGTTCCTTGACCAGTTCCAGTAATATGCATATACTTGACAGACTTTTGCCTATTTTGTGCCACTGCCCCCTAACCCTAGTTATTTCTACATGAATATTTATGCATGGATTGAAAGGAGTGTTGTTTTGGGGGAAGAGAACTATGGGAATGTTCAGACCAAGCTCTATACCCTCTATATTAGGGTAGGCACAGTACAAGCTCTTAGCCAAATCTTACAGCACTTTGGCTTTGGTTTTTGTGTAACTTTTTATTGTGACTTGATTGAAGGTTTACAGAGCAAATTGATTTTGCATTCAACAGTTCACATGCTTTATGTTTTACGACATTGGTTACAATCCCCACATTGTAATAGCATTCTTCCCAATTCCTTCCTCTATGTTTCCCATTTTCATTGGTTTATTTCCTATCCCTTTTTCCCTTCTGAACTTTGTTCCTGGGCAGATAACGCCACTGTGATCTTAACATAGTTGATTGTTGTGAAGAGTGTTATTGATTCCCTTACAGGCCTATCTATTTCTTGGCTAGAAGTTAAGTCAGTTCCATCAATTCCAGATTATTTAAGTTCAGAGTTTGAAGGGTGACTAAAAGCCGTAGTCTGCAGGGTTTCTCTATCTGTATCAGACCGGTAAGCCTGGTCTCTTTATGATTTTTTATTTTGTTGTACATTTTCACCCACGCTATTAGAGAACGCCTGTTGTGATCCCTTTCGGCATTGTCAGCAGTGGTAGATGAGAAGAGCCACCATCTCATTTGTCTGGTCTTGGGGTTGTAAACTCATGTGGCCCATTAGTCCTTTATAGTGATGTTCCTGGATTTTCTTTACTCTTCTTTGCTCCTAAAGGGAAAAGACCAATAATTCCACTTTGGATGGTCACTTGTAAACATTTTAAGACTCCAATTACTACGTACCAAAGTATTAAGGAGAATATCTTTGTGCATTGTGTTTTTCCAGTTTACTTTAATGTCCCCAGGTACTATGGTACTCTGGTCTTGGGCCCACTGCCTATTTTTATAAATGAAGTTTGTTGGACTACAGCTATGCCCTCCTTCCCATATTTATTGCCTCTGGCGGCTTTCTTACTACAATAGTGGAGCTGAATAGTTGTTGAAGAGATGGTGAGACCTCTATAATAATAAAAGAAATATTTACTATATGGCTCTTCCCACAGGAAAATGTGGCCACCTTCCATCTAAAGGAATCCAATATGGTTTTAGATTATATTATGACTCTCATTTTTTATTTACTAAGAAAAAAGTTAAACCTACAGGTTTGGGGCACAGCCTGACAAGAGTTGTATTGCCAACCCAAGGGCAGGCAATTTGAATCCACTAGCTGCTTCACAGGAAAAGGATGGGTGGTCTGCTCCCATGTGATTTACAGCCTCTGAACAACCATTGGAGGGCCAGCCATGAGTCAGCTCTGACTCAACGGCAGTGAGTAGTGAGTATAGGATCAATAGTCAAGATTGAATCTACTTCTATCTAGATAGATATTATGAAATAGTGATTGTTATAAAATAACTCTTTTCTTTCTCTCCTTTCTATACCATCCCCCACCCCCTACCAACACCACCTTAGCTTCACCTATCAGTACAATGAACTGTAGTATGTTGTTGTTGTTGTAATGTGCTGTCAAGTTGCCTGCAACTCATAGTGACCCTATGTACAGCAGCTCTGAAGCCTGCCCTGTCCTAAGCCAGTCTCCTCAATTAGTGTACTCTAAGTGTGCTCCACTGTGCATAGGGTTTTTGAAGACCTGATATATTTCAGAAGTAGATGGCAAATCCTCTTCCTAGTCTGTCTTAACTAGGATCTTAGTTTTAGAATAGTATCTGACAGATAAACTGTAGTATATGCACATGCATTTATCATATATATGTATATAGATAGATATATATATATGGATATATGGATATGTGTATATATATGTATGTATGCATGCATATATATAGAGACAGAGTTTTATAAGTATATAGATAGATCAATAGATCTAGATCTATCTAGAATCCAGTTTGGAAGTCATCTGCAGAAGCCAGATTCTATAGCGGCTTGTTTGCTTGTTCTGGTGAGGATTAGGGTGCAATGTATGATCGTGGAGAAACAACAAAAGTTATAGAAATGTTCAGGTCTTTTGTTCATAGGGGTGCTATGAGTCGTCTATGACAGCACTTGACAACAATAACGGCAGCAACATAGAGAGAGCTCTGTTGGAAAGAAAGTTAAGCCAAAGGTGGGTGATTTTAATCTGCGGCCCTCAGGTCTGGTTTTAATTGTTTTTGGTCAAACATTCTTCTAAGTGATATAGCGCTGGTCTGTCCATTTGCTGTACAGAGGTAACTGTTGGTTGCTGTGATGCTGAGCACTGTGACATTGATGTGTCAAATGTGATAATGATTACCCATGGTGGACAGTGTTTGGTGGAGCTCCCCAATTAAAACAAGCTTGGAAGCAGGAGTGACATCCACTTCTGAAATGTCTGTTCAGTTCTTTCATTCATAGGGTCACTATGAGTTGTCTATGACTCAGTGGCACTTAACAACAACAAGTATATATACATACATATAGACATATGTGTGTGTGTGTGTGTGTGTGTGTGTGTGTGCACGCGTGTGTGTGTATATATATAGAGAGAGAGAGACTGTGTGATATCCTTTGCCTCTCCCCATTCCAGTACTCCCATTTCTCTGATAAACCCCACAACTATAGGTGAAAACAAAAAGGTCTTGTTAAATGTGGTTATTTGCGATGCATTTCAAACCCAGTAGTAATAGAAGTAGGTGCAGCAGAGTGGGGTGGCCATGTCTGACCTTATATTTTGGATGATATGTTGATGGGGTTTCCCCTTTGTGGAGTTAGTAGAGATCACACTCAGTTGTCCCCATGTTGTCTTTGCTCTTTTTATAGCTCAGAACACACGCTTTTCATAAATCAAAGAGACTTTACAGTTCTGTAGTGAAATTAAGCAGGTGCTATCCTGAGATGTCTGAGGATGTCTCAACTCCAGATTGTCTGGTCTGGTGTCACTGTGGTGTTCTTAATCCTCTCAGCAGAAGTCCGGGATGTTCCTGGACAAGTTGAGAGAATGGAGCTGCTTTATACCTTGGTGGCAGAGTAGATTAAATGTTGAGTTGCTACTGGGAAAAATGGCAGTTCAAACCTACCAGCCACTCTGAGGAATAAGGAAGAGACCGTCTCTTAAGCCTTTCTTTGAGGATTGTAAGACAGCCTCAGAAACTGATAGAGGAATGTCATGAATCAGAACTGACTCAAGGACAATTGTTGTTGTTGTTGTTAGGTGCCATCAAGTCAAGCACAACTCATAGCAACTCTAGAACAAAATATCTGAACCGTGTTCTATTCTATGCCATCCTCACACTTCCGTTGTAGTAGTCACCATGTCATTCCACCTCGTTGAGAGTCATCTTCTCCTTCACCAACTCTCTACCCTTCCCAGCATCATGTCGTTCTCCAAGGAATAGCCTCTCCTAGCAACATTCCCAAAGTATGTGAGGCAAAGCCTCATCATTCCTGCCCCAGAAAGCACTCCAGCTGCACCTTCTCCAAGACATGTCTGTTCATTCTCTTGGCTCTCCATGGGATGTTCAGTGATTTTCTTCAGCACCACAGCTCAAAGGCGTCAATTCTTTTTCTGTCATCCCTTATTCACATAGCAAGTAATCAGAAAGGCCATGGCCTGAATGCACCTTGGTACTCAAACTGATATCATTATTCCTCAGTAATTTGGAGAGGTTCCTAACTGCAGATTTTCCCAGTGCAATGCATCTCCTTATTTCCTGACTCTGGTACCAGGGTGTTAATTGTGGATCCAACCAAGATGAAGCTGTTCACAATTTCAGTCTTCTCTCCATCCATCATGGCACTGCATATTGGTCCAATGGTAAGAATCTTTGTTTTCTTGATATTGAGATGCAATCCATGCTGAAGGCCGCATTTCTTGATCTTCTGCAGCAAATGCTTTAAATCCTTTTCCTTTTCAGCAAACAAGGTTGTGTCATCTGTATAACGCAGGTTATTGATTAATCTCCCTTAAATCCTGATGCCCCACTCCTCTTCATAGAATCCAGGTTCTCATAATTTGCTTCTCATACAGACTGAATAGGTATAGAGAGGGAATACAACCCTGACGCACTCCCTTCACAATTTTAAACCATGCAGTGTTCCTCTACTCTGTTGGCACAAAATCTTCCTGGTCAAGGTACACGTTCTGCATGAGCACAATTAAGTGTTCTGGGATTCCCATTCTTTTCAATGTTAGCCATAATTTGTTATGATCTACATAGGCAAATGCCTTTGTATAATCAATAAAGCATAAAATCACATTCTTCTGATGTTCTTTACTTTTAGCCAGGGTCCATCTGAAATCAGCAGTTATATCCCTGGTGCCATGGCTTTTTCTAAATCCTCCTTGAACTTTTGGCAGTTCCTATGTATGTGCGGTTCTAGCCATTTTTTAATGATCTTCAGCAGTATTTTGCATGCATGTGATATTAATAATATAGTTCTGTAGTTTCCACATTCAGTTGGGTCACTTTTCTTGGGACTGGGAACAAACATGGACCTCTGCCAATCTATTGGCCAAACATCTGTCCTCTGTATTTCCTGGCATAGGCTTGTGCCTGCATCCAAGGCTGCATCTTTAAATAGAAAGGGTGATAGGTTTGGTTTTAATGGTTACAGGTTTGTAGACATGTATAAACTAGTTGCTTTTGAGTCAACGCCAATCCATGTCAACC